TTTTCAATGTGTCCGGTATGTTGTTTTCAAAGACGTTTTTATAATTGTACAGTGAAGCATTTTTATATATATTTTTTTTTTTTTTTTTTAATGTTAATATTTCTTTTCGTAATCATCATTCTCTTCGGATTATCCCAGGTTGGGTCGCAGAGGCAGCTGCTTCAGCAGGGAAGCCCAAACTTGCCGCTTTCCAAGCCACTTCGTCCAGCTCCTCCCTGAGGATCCCGAGGCGTTCCCAAGCAAGCCAGCCGGTAAACATCGTCTCTCAACTGGGTTGTCCCACGGGTCTTCCCCCAGTGGGATGTGCCCTGGAACACCTCGCCAGCGAGGCATTCAGGAGGCATCCTCACATTATGCCCAAGCCACTTCATCTGACTCTCAATGCGGAGGGGCAGCGCATTGACTCTGAGCCCCTCCCGGATAGTTGAGCTTCTCACCTTATCTGTAAGGGGAAAGCTGGGAAACCAATGCGGAGGAAACTCATTTTGGCCGCTTATATCTGGTATCATGTTCTTTTGGTCACCACCCAAAGCTCGTCAGCTCGCAAAGGTAGATCGAACAGTCAAAACAAGAGCTTTCGGCTTCTTCTCAGACTGAAAATGAGGACTGATACAAGAGCCCGAGCTGTTTTTGGAAGTTAGCCTGACTATATCTAGTCACAAGCTCTCAACCTTACTCGGGCTCCTTTTCCTGTCGGAGAGGTGATGTTCCATGTCCCGAGAGCCAGTTTCTGTCACCGGGGATGGGAGTGCCAAGGCCGCCGCCCAGTTCTCTCTGCACCCGACCTGCTTGACCCCGTGCACAGGTCGTGAGCCCATGCCTCTTCGGACGCTGCCCGGGTGCAGGCCACCAGGCGCTTGCCATTGAGCCCCACCGCCAGGCCTGGTTCTAGAGAGGGGCCCCCGGTGACCCACATCCGGGTAAGGGAACGCGATGTCCATATAGAGTATGTCAATCATCATAGGACGTCTATGATCTGGTCCCTCCCCTTTTTAATTAAGCCTTCCATCAGGTAGTTGAACTGAAATCTGCTTCCCATTAATCCTCGGAACGCGGATTTATCCAAATCCTGTTTTGGTAGCCGCTATTCACAAGGTTAGCCAAGCACTGTCGTGTGCATCCGCGTGATTAGTATATCGGGAAATTGACCCTCAAACAAAGGTTCCGCTTGTTTGAAACCTATTATCCATCCATCCATCCATTTTCCGATCGGCTTTATCCTCACAAGGGTCGCGGTGCGTGCTACAGCCTCTCCCAGCTGTCTTCGGGCAGTAGGCGGGGGACACCCTGAATCGGTTGCCAGCCAATCGCAGGGCACACAGAGATGAACAACCATCCGCGCTCACACTCACACCTAGAGGCAATTTTCGAGTGTTCAATCAGTCTGCCATGCATATTTTTGGAATGTGGGAGGAAACCGGAGTACCCGGAGAAAACCCAACCAGGCACGGGGAGAACATGCAAACACAGGAAGGCCGGGGCCGGGATCAAACCCACGACCTCTGCACTGTGAGGTCGATGCACTAACCACTGGCGCACCGGGCCGCCTGAAACCTATTCGATTGGGTTAAATCCTCTTCATGTTATTTCTTTTGTAATTAACATATACACACACACACATACGCTCTATCCAATGTTTTAATATCACAGTTGCATTTAAGATTTTTTTAAGTTGTATTTATCAAGAAAAAAAGGTTGTACACTATTTTTTCAAATATTTCCTGAGAATTTTTTTTTCAAGAACTATAAAAACTATAAATATTCCTGTTGCACTTCTTTATTTCGCCAGAAAAACGTTACTGTATTTTTCCAACATTCTTTCAAGAAAATTTTCAAAAATCGCTTTTTTTTTTTTTTTTGGGAGGGGGAGGATAAATGGTGTGAAAGACCAAAATAAATGATCAATTTTCAAGCAAAATGCAACAAGCACAAAAGCTGTCAATCTTTTACTCTGGCTTTTTGTTTATTAATGAAAAAAAAACAAAACAAAAAAAACAAACAAACAGCAGAACATCAATAGAAAGCCGGTACAGACCGACCCTGACTGGTACGCCCGCACGGCAGCGGCAACTAAGCAGCTGGGACCGTCCAGCCGGTGCTTCCCAGGTGCTCGACACACACGCGGCACGAGAAGATGCAGAAGAAGCTGATTGAAAGAGAGGCACCACAGACTTTTCTCCGCTCTGCACATTTGCACTCTATTTACATCGGTGCGTGTATACGTGTGCGCTATGTACACTTTGACAAAACATCAAAAAGTCCATTGGCCATCGAGAAGAGCAAGAAGCGCGTCTGCACGGAGGAGGAACCGCTTCGAAAACAGTCAGTCGGAATCAAAGAAAAACTGTCCACATTGAGCTCGTGAAAAGCAAAAAAATAAATAAAATAAAAAAGGAAGACACAAATGATTTCCACACAGATTGCATAAAGTTTTTTTTTCCCTCTCTACGCGCTTAAGCTTATTTGCATGATCCTTGTAAAAATTGCATACAACATGAAATCAGTGCCGCTCGCCCTGCCCTTTTTTTTTTTCTTTTCTGTGATTATAGGCCACCTTTAAAGCACATTTCTCCTATGGAAAACGTTTAAGACACTTTTTGTTGTTGTCCGTCCGTTTGTGTATAAATAGAAAAAAGACGAGGGGGGGAGAAATGCAAAAAAAAAGAAAAAAAAATCTCTTACATCATCAACACTGCAAATAAATAAGAACGATGGCGTCATTCACATTTCTCATTGTGTGTTCCATTGGCAAAAGGAACCATGTGGTACAAGGCATTGTTGGCATAGGTTGATCATATATTTCACATCTATTTATTTATGCACAGACAGTAGAGAGAAAATTTTCCTTAGATTCTGTTCCATCCTCAAAAAAAAAAAAAACACACAGGAGTGGCGGCCTGTTGATCGTCATATTAAGATTAATAATATATGACACCTGGTGTTTTTTTAAGGCCTTGTCAAACAACTTGGTCCTTGATTTTTGTTTATTAAAAAAAAAAAAAAAAAAAAACAGCACGCACATAAAACCACAAAAGTCGTCCTTGTAATAAGAAATGACTCTAACCGGCGTCAATTGTTCTTGCCCAACAGAATCTGACGTTTCAAGACACAAGGAAAGAAAAGTGAGCGCGAGGACGTGTCCATACGTATACGCTCATGTTCACATTTGATTGGACTTTTTTTTTTTTCCCCTTTCTTCTTTGTCCTCAAAATTATTTTTAAAATGCATTCGGGGGAAAAAAACAGCTTTAAAGAAATGGCCAGGGTGAATGTTTTCCAAAAGTCTGTCTTCAGCTTTTGTGAACCACCCAAAAACATAATTCTTATTATCATTATAAAAAAGATGGGTGTTTTAGTTTTGAAAACAAATAATAATAAAGGAAAAGTAACTCATATTAGACTAATCAGATTTAATTTCAAGAACAAACAAAAAAGTTACATTTAAAAAAAAAAAGTCTGATAAAAGTGATTGTGATTTTTGGGGGAGAGAAAAGTTTTTGAGACAATGCTGTGGCCAATACATGAATACTTTTAAAATACTTTTTTTCCCCAAAATATTTGATTTGGTGTCCCCAAAAAGGCCTTTAAAAAATGTTTGGGTTTTTTTTGTTTTTTTTTTATTGTATTTTCAATTTTTAGAAAATGTACTTTAATCCGAAAAGAATAGAGATTTTTTGGAGAAAGTGTCGTAATCATATGAGAAAGTCAATTTGTGAGAAAAAGTATCTTGAGCAAAAACCAAATTGTATTCTGTCAATAGCCATAATGGAGTCAACTATCTTACAATAACACCACCTCGAGAAAAACAGATTAATGCGATTTATTTTTTTTTTTTTTAGAAAGGTTAATATTTTGCATATTACTCAAGAATAAATGTAACATTTAGATGTAAACTGATACCTTTTAAAACTACGTGTGGACACGTCCTGAAAGTGTGAGTGCAGTGAGCAAAACTTTGACCTAATGGCATAGTTGCCCAAGTCATTTTTAACTGGTAAAAAAGGTTTACATTTACTTTTTTAAAATTTTGTCTGTGTAGATTGTCGGTCATCCGGGTTGTGATAATTTGTAAATCTGATTTCACCCCCACCACCCCCCCTCTTATTTTCTGAAAACTTTCAAAAACGACTTAGGCAATTACGGTCCTAGGCTAACAGTGCTACCGATTTTCCACTTGTTTTGTGTGTTTGTGCAGGTTACGAAACAATGCCAGAAAAGTCTTTACAGTGAATCAGACTCATCATCATCATCATCATCATAATGATACAATACTTTTACAAAATCCAAAAATTGAAAGTCCAGGCCAGTCTTTTGTTCCTTTTAGTCATTCGCTTGCTCCACGACGGGGCCTCCACCGCCTCGCCCCACCTGTTCCTCAGTCTTGACCACGAAGGCGTTGGCGTTGGTCTGCGTGCTCTCTTCCGTCTCCTTGTGGGCGTCGCCGCCCTCACCGGTCTCCGAGGGCTCCTCGTCCAAGGCGGCGGCGGGGCTGCCGCCGCCGCTGCTGCAACTGCTGCCGCTCCTGGCGCCGCCGTTGCCGCCGTTGGCGGGGGGCGTCTCCTTGGGCCCTTTGGCCGAGTGGCTGACGTAGAAGCGCTGGTTCTGGAAGAACTTGATGACGGTGAGTTTGGGGAGGTCCAGCTGGGCGGACAGCGTGTGGACGGCCTCCTCGTCCGGGTACGGGCCCACGTCCTGGATGAAGCTCTGCAGGATGCCCAAGGCCTCCAGGGAGATCTTGCCGCCGCCGCCACTGCCCGAGCGCGACTTGACCAGGCTGCGCACCACGTCGTCCTCCATCTCAGCCGGGGAGGCGGTGGAAGGCTGGCGCGGGGGCAGGCGAGGGCCCGAGGGGGGCTGCTGGGACGGGTGTTGTTGGGACAGGGCCGGCTGGTGCTGAGGAGGTCAACGACACGCGCGACGGGGGGTGTTAGACACGGCAAAATCGAGAGCGTCATGCGCGTTTTAGTTATTCGGGCAGAGGAAAAATAGGATTTTCTTTTTCAAGACTATACAAAAAAAAAAGAAAAATTCCCATTAATGTAGAATAAAGTTTTGGAAGTCATATTTTTGTAGAATAAAGATTTAAGAAGTTGTGTTTTATTCAACAAAAAAAAGTTATTTTGAGAGAAGTTGCATTTTTTTTTCCAAGAATAGTTCTCTTTAAAAAAAAAAAGTTAATATTTTGTTCAAAATATTTTTTTTCAAGAAAAATATTATTTGAAGAGAAAAAGGCGTGTTTGAACCTTAGATTAAATTCAGGGTTTTTTTTTTCAAAAGAAAGAAAGTTGTATCCCCCCACCCTCCAAAAAGAAAAAAAAACAGGATTGGTAATTAAAATGCGAAGCAATATTTATTTGGTTATAATCAGGATTTAGGAAAGATTTTTTTTCAAGGAAAAGATTGAAGCTATTTTTTTAAAAATAAAGTTTGTTTCAGCAAAATTGGTTGCATTTTTCAAAAATTTCACGTTTTGATTTGCTCTTTGTTACTTTTTAGAGAGTATTTTTCCCCCCACGGTAAAGTCATCATTGTTAAGCAAAAGTTTTATTTTTTTGAGGATTAATTTATGTTGTTGCCAAAAAAGGTAGTATTTTTTTCGAGACTTAAAACAAATAAAGATACCTATTTTATCAAGCCCAATTCAAGTGTTTTGACAGGGATGTTTTTTTCCCTTGTTTTTAGGAATCTAGAACAACTTTTTTCCCCCTTTGTTTTTAATTAAAAAACACACAAAAGGAAATTATTTTTTTGTGTGTGTGACATACTCTAATTTTTCCTGCAACTGGTTGTTTGAGACTTTGCCTTTTTTTCGTTAGCACAAACAAACGACAAGTTAAAATGTCTCCGTGTGTGGGAGTGTGTGAGTGGGCGAGCAGAGTTGCCTGTTGACCTGTCCAAACGCTCACGCTTTGATTTGAATGGCTGATTCATATGCTGGACATGAGGAGATGGTCCACAAGAGCGTGTTTGCACAACTCCACTTGACGAGCGTGCGCACACCACGGAACCCCAAGCACACGCGGAGCAAATCATCCAAAATTCAGCAAAATTCATGAAAAACAATTCTGCACATTTTTGAGGGGTTTAAATTGTTTTGGTTCCAGATATGTGCAAATTTAACAAGGCCGCAATTCAACGCTGGGTTGAATTTCAAACCTCTCCTTCACTTCACGTCATTGTTTTTTAGGGGGTGGGGGATTTTTTTTCCCCGCCATCAGAATCAAGTGGTACATTTTGGGCAAAAAAAAAAAAAAAAGCTGTATTTTTACAGAATGAAGAAAGGAAAATGCATTTTGCAAGAAAACAATTTCTGAAGTTTCAAATTTAATCATATTTTTTTCAAGAAAATTTTCTTTTGTTTTCTCCATCAAAATTTTTTTTTTTTTCAAGGAATAAACAACGGTGAAAAAATACTTTCATTTACTCTTATTACTGTCATGATTATTTCCACTCAGCCAACTGAAACATTGCCCTCAACGGTCATTGTTCTGGCTGATAGTTGAGCGTGACGTAGCTCACCTGCAGCTGGTCTGCCGAGACGTGCGAGAAATGCGGCGGCCTGTCGGCGGCGTTGTTGTGATGTTGCTGTCCGGCGCTGCTCTCCTGCTCATAGATGACGTCGCGCTCGGCCTGAGAGAGGCTGAGGAAGCGGCGGATCATAGACAAGTTCTCCCACAGCGTCCGGTTCTCTGGAGATGGATCTTCCTTCCAGCGCAGAAGCTCGCACAGCCAACCCTGCAATTAAAGAAAATTAAAAAAAAATGTCACAAGTACAAACGCCTCGTGTCATTACCCTGCTCTTAAAATATAAATAATACCCATAGTACTCATAAAGTTCCAAAATCTAACATGTAGTACGATATGTCCAATGGAAAGATCATATTATATTGATACACACACACACGAACACACACACCTCTGATGAACCCCAAATATTTCTAATGAATTACCCCGGAACTAACTTGAGTAGGAGAGCTTGGATGGGCTCCAGCATGCTTGCGACCCCTGTGAGGATCATCGCTTCGGAAAATGAATAAATAAATACATTTACAGCAGTAATAGTCATTACTCGCATGCAGTATATGTCTGTAGTGTCGTATACTGCTTGTACGTATCGGTACGTAGCAGTTGTCTGAAGGTTTAGAATTAACATCACATTGATGCTAATTTCCATTAGCCCGTCTATGGCTTTTTGCCTTATATGTTAGCATGAAGCAAACTTTAGTTCGATTTAATGGTACGATTTGCAGCGTTTAATTCACTTTTGTTTTATGGGTGAATTTCACAGGAAAGTTTTAACGGGAAGTGACAAACCGCTCCAAGCAAGCAGGCTGTGCGTTTTATTTGGAGAATTACGGAAGCGAGCAAGAGTCTTCTTTTCGTATACGTTACAGCTGCATTTCATTCAGCCATTTTAGTCCAATTACCAACTTTCTCCCTACACTTGAATGCGCCTTAAGAGCATCGGTCAGAGCGCGGCCGTTGTGGTAATCTGGCGTCCGGTGTTCGTCACCACTGGATTACACAAGCGGCGCTCGCTCAGTCACTCACTCACTGGCTAGTTGGCTGGGCTGGCTCGCGCACACTCTTCATGTGCACACCGTTCCGTGGCAGCCGAGCGCACACGCTGCACACGGGAGATAACTCAGCACTTTGCGTGTCCCATTCCAGATCCTCCCGTAAACCTCATCAAACCGTAGAGGAAGGAGGAGGAGGGAGAAAGAAAGAGAAAGCGGGGCCATAAAGCCTCCGTGCCCACCTTGTTCCTTTGCCACATTTATTGTTGCCTTTTTAATTTGCATGCAGAGGGATTTGGACCGTGCTCCAGTTGGGCCGTCTGTGCTTTCAGCTGATTCGGCAGTGAGGGAGGACACAGGCACGCACACACACGCACACACACACACACACACACACACACACACACACACACACACACGCTTGTCTTGTCCAACGCGGGCCTGCAACGGCGTAATCCAACTCAAACACTCTGCAAAGCAGCAGGATTAAACCCAAAGTAGCAGAGCCAATCAAAGCCCACACGGCGGGAACTCCCCAAGCCTGCCAGGAAGTCCATTTCATTAAATACCAAGTATACGCTACGTCTATTAGCTCGGCCGCTAGTCATGGATAAGTGATGGTTAGTTGTACTTTCTGGAACCAATAAAAAAAGAACCTGCAGCGAAAAGTTGTTGGACCACTTTTCTATTTTCTTGTGTCGTTGATGTATTTTTAACAATAATTATCTTCGTCTAAAGCCAGTCCTCTTTAATTCCACTTTAATGGTTAAAAGGTTTGCATGTTTTTTGTTTTTCTTCAGAATCCACCATTCCCAAGACAGTTCACCCTATCAGACAAAAGGGTGCGACTGATTAGATGTTAGCCCAAGCTAACAATGGCTAGTTAGCTTGGCCTTTTGGAGCTTTGATGATTATTTTGGAATATTTGCATCACGGGAAGAAAAAAATGTCCCGACATTGTTTGCTTACAACTAGCGAGACGATCGAAAAGAAGCAGAACAAAGGGAGCTCAGAAAGTTGAGGATTCAGAAGCGACAGGGAATTAACAACATTTCTGCTTTTACGTTTGGCCTGTTCTATTATTTTTATGATTATTTCATTAGTTATTTTTATTATGATTACTATTTTTATGTACATTGCAAAATAAACTTCAAACTGATCAATTTTATGCTATAGTAACACTAAAAATAAGTCATGCTACTAATGTATGCGACCACTACCGTTAGCTTGTTTACAAAGCTAATGCTATATTTTAGAATAGCTTGTGCTGCCATTTTATGGAATCTGGACAGCGTTCTTTGTTTTTTTTTTTATTTTCAATCCAAACTGCACATGTTCATAACCTCATTTGGTCAATCTCGATGGCATGTGGGGGATTTTTTTGTAGCGGGGCAAAAAAAACGAAGCTTTTAATTCCAGGAAATTGTGTCGTAGAAATGAACTCGGCAACTAGAAAAAAAAATCTACTGAAGTAACTAAAAATGTCATATTGTGATTTCTTTTCTTGTCAATTCTTCATGGTAATCTGCCACTTTATTCAGTCCAAATAAACACTCCGACTAGAAATAATCCATCCATTTTGTTTATGGTTTAACCTCGCTAGGGGTCACACATGAGCCGGAGCCCTGTGGAGTCCCAAGCAAGTATTATTCACGTCAGCATGATGAAGAAGGCGCATTAACATTTGTTACAATGCGTTGCTTCCAGCCAGCGATGAAGAAAACTCCTAAAACGTATCATTCAGCATGTGCAACATTCCTAACACGTTGTCTTGGCATCATGTTTACGTGTTAGCTTCTCTTGCCACGTGGTGTTGTTTTACACGGTGTCTCTGAAAAGCTGTCGGAAAATAAAATAATAATAAAATAAAGGTTCACAACAGATTCGAGTTGAAAGAGTGAATCCAATCGTGTTCTCACGGTGTCCAATCGCTTCAAAAGGTGTAAACAGGAACCAGTTGAGTCAGGGCAAATTCTTCAAATGATTAATCTGTCGCAATGCCAAAAGGCCCATCCCCAAGCGTCTTGAAACTCAAGTTGCAATCGCTGCTTCGATTCATTTGGGAAATTGTTCATTTGAGGTGACTTTATTACAAATCAAAATTCTCTCTTTTTGCAAGGAAAAGTGGCATTCTTCAAAAAGCAGGATTTTGTTTTTGAGGGGTGGGGGGGTGTGCACTGCTGACACCTGTAAAGCAAGATTGATTTCAATCTTTACAAAGATTGTGAATTTGTTCGTGAATTTTCGGGGAGAGAAATACAAATCAAATTCCGATTAAGTTGTGACGTTTGTGTGAAACATAAATAAAAACAAAATACAGTGATTTGCAAATCATCTGGACCGGAGAACATCCAAGTAAACTGACAATCGCCGTTATGTGCCGCTGTACGTTTTCATCTGCCTCGCTCTTTTTCATCATGATAGTCCGACTCAATTGGTTATAAAGTCCAATTCCACTCGACATATATTGTCAAATTCCACATCAGCGGTTATACAGATCAAACCCCGCGGCCGTTGCTTGCGCCGATACGGCGTCGACGCGACGTAGTCACAAACATCACGGTGACCTACTGAGGTATGAAATCCTCCTCCTATAGACACCTGACAAGCTCCCAGATGCTGTAAACAGGTTCATCCCAGCAATAAGCAGCGACAGCTCGGGATTATCGCGCGATGTTGGCACACACCTGCCACAATATTGCACCGTAATCCTCTGCCTCTGGGTTACCGTCACCTAATTAATAAGCAGGAGAGTCGGAGGAGGGGTATTTCAACGTCAAAAAGCAGACTACAGAGTTTTTTTTTGTGGGTTTTTTTTTTCCCACGACTTGTGACTGAGAAGCGGCGAGTTCACGTGGTTGTAAAGCCATCAGCGGGTCTTTTGTGGTTCCAATGGCACAATAGTGCAATTCATAGCGTTGATGTGCTATGCAAGAGCAAGAGGTGAAGTCACAAACTGGCCAATGACAGACAGACACACACACACACACACACACACACACACACACACACACACACACACACACACACACACACACACACACACACACACACCTTCCCATCTAATCTCATTTGGTCGTTATCAGGTCCATCAGGCTGACCTCGGCCGCGCGCCGGATAAAAGAAATAAGCCAACAGATGTCCATCACTTTGCTTTTTTTTTTTTTTGCGCAGCCAATCCCAAAAATACAGACACAGTCCTCTGGTTATTTGGTTCACAGGCTCAACCAATGAAGTCACACGGAACGAAATCACAAGCATTGTGAGCTCAAAAGAGAAAACAATAATCAAAGCAATAACAAAGCATTTCTTGAACTCTGTTGCTAACCAAAATAGCAGCACCCAGGCAAACACCTAAAAGCATGTATAGAGAGCTTCCCATCTACTCTCATTCGGTCGTTATCGGGCTCATCTGGCAAATGGAACGGAAGACACAATCTGCATCTGCTCTTTTTTAGAACGAGGAAACGGAAGGAAAGATGCGCCTCCACCAAGCTGCACATACAAAACAAAAACAAGACTGGGACAAAAGACACCCTTTCGTTGTCTCCTTGGACCTGGCCGGGCTCCAAGAGAAGCTCAGTCAGGTAAAAATTTGATGTTAGATGGGGAGGGGGCGGGCGTGCGAACCTGTCGGTCCTGCTTTGGTGAGGGCTAACGTGCAGCGCCTTGGAAATAGATTCCGCCACAGTGGACGCCCATCTGCCGAGGACGACCGCCATGTACGCAGCGCACCATATGCCAATCTCCCGCCACAATAAGCAATAATTGCAGAAGGGGGGAGGGGCGGACTGTATTTTTATCTTGCTATCTGAACGTAGTTTCGGCGGCGGAGTGAAAATGGCCTGCTGGCCGCAGGAGGAGGAGGAGGAGGAGAGGCCATGGAAATAGAACTGGCCTTAAATGAACTGCAGTGGCGGCAGGACAATATGACAGGACGGAAATGTCGACAGTGAACCCCCGTTTATCGCGGGGGATATATTTTAAAAAAAAAATCTTAAATAATAATTTTATATAAATATTTCCTGTCAGGTGGCCTGGTGGTCCAGTGGTTAGCGCGTCGAGCTGACAGTGCAGAGGTACCGAGTTCAATTCCAGCTCCGACCTCCCTGTGTGGACTTTGCATGTTCTCCCCAGGCCTGCGTGGGTTTTCTCCGGGTACTCCGGTTTCCTCCCACATTCCAAAATCATGCATAGCAGGCTGATTGAACACTCTAT